TTCCTAATTGCAGACTTGATGTGACCCTGTCTCATGCCCTTCCATGACAGCTTGTGTCCTTTTAAACTGTGAGCCCAAATAGACACTTCCTTCATTCCATTGCTGTTGTCCGGCACTTCATCAACAATGAGAAGAATGGCCTTTTTAATGTGTCTTTGACTGTGAAGAAAAGAATCTAGCACTCTCCTTAAGGATATTCCCATGTCCTTAGTCAATGACCCTGTCAGATACTTGTCTCTTTATAAGGTGACTTTACCTGGTTAGAGAGTGAGGACTTTATGAGAAGAGTTTGTTGTATGAAAAAATTTGAAAGTATCCCTTCCCTCAGTTTTATGGACTACTGGAATATTTATAGATCATAACAATTATTTCTTTAGATTGCTGGACTCATCAATGAAATTTTCTGGTAACAATACAAGACATTGTTAACCCATTGGTTCTTTCAGATTGTGTTACCTGGTTTTACTATTTAGACTTTAAAGTTTTCCACTGATCTTGTATCTCTCTTTTTGTATGAGTTTATTTCTTTAGTAGGGAGCAAGGGAAGATGGGAGGATACAGAGGGACTGCAGTGCTAGGAGAGATCCTCTATCCAGGCAAAAGGACTCTAATAAAGATGGCCACACAGTGGGAGTCTGAAGCAGTTTCATTCCCATCAAAGTACGTCTCCATGGAATTCAAGGATTCTGGAGAAGGGGAGTTCCTGTATTACCAAGAAGCAGGGTTATTTAATATGAGAACTGTGCTAGATGAAAGAGGAAGGGACCTGGATTTTAGGCTCCTTGCAGTGATCATTGTTTCACTGGTGGAGGTGGGTGTGAGAGACACAGTCAATGTGTGACTGTGTGGCAGCAATGAATCTGCCTTGACTTCTGGGCAACATGGGTGGGATGGGAAGCAACCAGCTTTGCTAAGCCAATGTGTATTGGTTATTATTCTGTTGCACTAAAAGTTTATAAACATGGAATCTTAAGAAAGAAAGAGCATGTCTATCTGGCTTATTTTTGGAGGGTTAGGAGCCCATGGTGGAGGGTCAGAGGCATGGAAGCTAGCTCGAATCTTGAAGGCAAAACCAGAGATTGAAAGTGTCATAAACTCAAACTCAAACAGGAAGTAGGGAGAGCAAGTGAAGACTATGCTGATTCCTCTCAAAAACAGTCCCAGTGATGGACTTCTGCCACTAAGTCTCCACCATAGAAAGTTTCCCAAACTGTACCATCAACTGCCCTTGTGTGTCTATGTGCTCAAGTGACCAGTTTGTATGAGACATCTCTAATTCAAAGTACCACAGGGGCTTTGTTACATGTCAGCTGTGTTGAGCACTTGGTTTCTAGTTTGGGAATTTGTAGAACACATGGATGTGAAGCTAGCTAGAGGATCTGTGTCACTTGGGGATAGGCAAATTCAAATGCAGTGTCACCAGCCAGCTAACTACCAGCTCTATAAGGAAGAAGATGCTCCCACCACCATGGCTTCAGTGTCTCTTGAAGGCCTGTGCACCAATAAACCCTTCCTCCCTAGAGTTGATTCTGGTCTGGGATTTGTTGCCAGCCATGAGAAAAATACTCAGAGCACTGGCTGTGATACAGAACATGATCCAAACCACTGTCAGTTCTGACTGGCCATGATTGGTCAGTTGCTTGTGGTGACATCACAAGGAGACATTATGATGAATGCTAGCAACTAGTCCATGTTAGACACTCCTGCTTTGGGCTCCTGTCCTTGTATCTTGGAGCAGCTGTCAGTTGCCTACAGAGCAAATGGACTTAAAATTGGCTCTGACAGACTAGGAATCTCCAATCTACAGGACCTTGCTAGAGTGAGTTTGTATCCAGATTTTTGGTGGTGGTCCTAGGGGTTAAGGTTTGCTATTTTATGTTTACATTTACGTTATTGGTTTACATTCTAGGTTTGATTTGTGAATGTCTTATATATTTCTTCATTATTACCCAAATTCCTATTTCAAAATTTATTTAGTGTTTTTTTTAATTTGGTTTCAATTTCCTTGTTTAGAACATATGTCACCGTATACTACCCACAGCAATTTCATTATAACATTCCCATACATGCCTACCAGCATTTTGGTCAAACTCTCTTGCTCTATTTCACTTCCTCCACTCTGAGACAAATACTCTTCTTTTATAAATGCTCAGCCTTCTTCCTGCCCAAATCCACAGGAGAAGAAAATGTCTTATTTCTGTTTGTGGAGTTTGTTTGTTTTATATGATATTGGCTTTAGTTGTAGCTACTTTCCATATAGCAGAACAGTTCAGTGGTCACTGTGAGTATGGACCCTTCCCCAGAGTCTGAACACATGCTACATTCTTGTTCAGTTTCTTTATGTAAATTATCCTCTGGATTTGTCTTGCATTTCTTGGCCCTTAAAGGCACCATTAGGTCATTTGGGATATCTCAGATTTCAAGGCAGACAATTCATAGCTATGAACTTCCATCTTAAAACTATATTTATTTTTTTCTAGCATTGTGTGCCCCTGAAATCTCCCACAAAATATGGTGATTGAAATTGAATTGATCTTCATGGCCAGCCCCTGGGAATAGGACATCCTTGAATGGATTTCAGAATCTTAACATCTCTAGGTTATGGTGCATTTGGGGAGGCGATGCTTGCCTGCCAACTTCGCACATATGCACAGGTGGCTGTCAAGATCCTTGAGAAACACCACAATGCTCTGGCTCACATCATCTCTGAAGTAAACATTCTTCATCTCTGAAGTAAGCATCCTTCAATCTTTGGAACACAGTAACAGTTCATATTTTCATGTCACTGACAGACTGACAATGGCTTATGTGGTCATGGAGTATGTTGCAGGAAAAGATCTGGAGGTGTTCATCAGGGAGATAGACTATCTAAAGGAGGAGACCACTGGACCAGTATTCCAACAGGTCATGTCAACAGTGCACTTTCTCCACCAAAGACGCATTGCAATTAGAGATTATCCTCCTCATTGATGGAGCTGGCAAGGTCAAGCTTTGAGATTTTAGTATGGCCACTCAGCTTGCAGAGAGCAGATGTTGGGGTAGTCCTGTGTCTCCTTGCTCTGTTGGGACCCAGAGATCTTGGCAATAAAACCCTATGATGGACTGGCAGTTAATTTGTGGAGCTTGGGCATTGTCCTATGTGTCCTGGTCACTGGGCACTTTCCATATGTAGGAACCATCCTTAATGCTATGCACAGAATCATCACCACCACAATGTGCCCCATTCCATACCATTTGTCCAAACCCTGCCACATTATCATTGCAAAATTACTCATGGTCCCCATCTGGTAGAGGCTAACAATATATCAGCTTGTAGACCAACCTTGACTGAGCCATATTCAAGAACATGTACCACCTGCCACTAAGGAAATCCTTCCAAGGGTTGTGGAGACTATGTGCACCATCGGCTCTACCTGTGAATAGACTGTGTCATGCCTGAAACACAGGCAAACAAATAACTTAACAGCAACCATAAATATACTCAAATATGAATGCTGTGGGGATAGCCATGAGAAAGCCACGTCCTGGCTAAATAGGATCCCTGCAGGTCCCCTTAGCCTCCCTCTCCCCTTGAAAAGGAGAGTTAGTGAACTAGCTCTTCCAATCAGAGGCAAGGGATGCAGAAGATGCACAATGCTCCACAGATGCTCCAGCCTGGAGATGACGCCCTGTTCAGATAACACAGTCCCAGAAGGAGATTCATTGACAGCTGACATCATCGATCCTGCTACAGGGGACATTGCAGTCAACATGAATTCAATGGATAGCCTGTCTGATGAGTTCTCCTCCCCTGAGCCACCTCTGAATGGGAAACCCATAGGGTTCCTGAACATGGGCTTCTCCACAGAGGAACAACCCACAGGGGCAGATATGCCCAGTGACAAGTCCCAGGTTATACCCACAACCTCTGGATCCAGGCCACTCAGGGGCTGGAAGCTGATGAAGAAGTGAATTTCCCATGCACTAAGAGCACTGTGCTGATGCTGCCTGCCCACCCCCAGGTGAGACCTGAATCTTTGTGTCAGGGGCTATAAAGAAAAGAGAGGAGAGTCCTAGGGAACCCAGTTGATTGGTCCACACACAGGCATTCCTCCACTGTGTTTTGCCTAAGCTATTTTAATAAGCTTTGAAAAAGACAAGTTGTAACCACTCAGAAGCCAGGAACTTAGGATGTCGAGCACATTAGGTGGTCCAATTCCACTTTCCCCCTCATGGAAATTTGAGTTACAAGAAGATAACATAGCATGGAGGGGGAAAGGGTGGGAAGGGAGGGGAGAGTGTTTGACTAAAGGGGGCACAGATTTAGATGGGAGGGATCAGGAGCAGAGCTATGGCACAGCAGGGCACTTCAATGCTAAATAAGACCTGTGTCTTCAAAGTCACTTATAGAGGCACGTTCATGTTTCTTTTTTCTTTCAAGTGGGGAAATTGAAATGGCCTCTTGGGGGACTACCAGTGTTGGGGTTCTGTCCCAACCTATTGAGGGGTCCCTTGAAGTGGGGAGTGAGGAACTGAAAAGTAATTGGAAGAAACCAGCAGTCTTGAGTTTAGTTCTAATGGGATTCTTATACACTAGCAAGGGGAGAGGCAAACACCTTCCCATTTCAAGATCAAAAACAATGTACAACTAAGTGTAGACCCTTCAAAATACCTGGTAACCATGCCCAATGGCAAAATATTGAAAGCTGCCGGTAGCAAAGTCCATGGGAGTATACAGCAGTGACAACTAGAGTTCAGAAGTCAACCTATCAGAACTAAGGGTTCTGTTAGAGGAAACCATCATGCAAGGTGTTATGAAATTACTGCCTTTTTCCATCTCACAAAAGGATTCAAAAGTATCTTTGATTGCATTCAACATTGTTCTGCTCCAATGTGGCAAAGTAAGTAAGCCTTCCTGGGCCTGACACACAAAACTGACACAACAAGGACAGTAGTTATGGATGACATGGTTTCCAGTGCAAAAAGGAGAAGATGAGGATATGAAGGAAAGCTGTATCAGCATGGAGCTGCAGATGTCAGCCAGGGAGCACTGGTGAGTGTGGTGTCTACATGGTTTTCTAGAGAACCTTCCATGTAGGATGCAGCTCTCTTACTCATAGAGGTCTCCCTACATGACAGGAAACCCAGGAGCCTCATCTGTGTACATTATGGACCTGATGGTAATTTTGAGTACATGAAGTATCTCTTTGTGGAAGAAAATGAGATTCTGAAGCCTTGCCTTCATGTAGTGCCATCCCAAGTGAAGATAGGTAAGGCATCATGTGGTTTGTGCCAGCTTTTCCTCCACAGAGGGAAAGATATCATTGCCTTGCTTTGCTGAAGAGTAATGGGAAACTGAGTGGCTGCAGACCTGTGCATAGAGAGGACCTAGTCTGCTGTAGCTGACAGCAAGAATCCATTCTGACCATCTGATGTCATATCATTATGAAACATGGGTCCCAGTCGGGAAGTGGCCAAATCCTCTTCTTAGCACAAGCCAAGAATTTTTTTCAATCCCCATACTACTAGACACACACACACACACACACACACACACACACACACACACACACACACACACACACATTTTTCCTAGCTTGCAGGTTCTCATGAGTCCTACAGACTCCACAGCATAAAAAAAAATCACACAATGATGCCATTTGTTCCTACTTATTGTACAGAGCTGCAACAGGGGATTGATCACTTAGAATCAATGAGCCATCTGTTCTGCATACTAGAATAGGCACATAGAAAATGTGTTGAGATATACCATGAAACCTGTCCCCATCCCCATGCCCCATCATATGGCAAAGGAGGAATGCCCTAGCCAACATGCTTGTCAAACGGACTTGAGTTGTTCAGATCCCCTGAGACCACATTAAATTCCGCATGGTAGTTTGGTGTGCCTAAAATCCCACCTCTGTGGAGATGGACACAGAACCCTCATGCTCTCTGTGCAGATAGTACTAATGGACAAGCCCTAGGTCCCAAGAGAGACTGTGTCAAAAAATAGTGACAGAGGAAGACTCTTGATGCTGACCTCTGTTCTACTCACATTTAACAATTACTTGCAAGTGCTTTTGAATACAAATGAACTCAAACACCTGAACCAAGGAAGACACACACAACACACACACAAAAAAAAAACCACTATACACACACAAAAGGCCACACACATGCCCATACAGGCAGGGGATATGGAGATGGACAAAAATCTTATCTGCTCTAATTTTATCTTTTAGATATGATCTTCCTTACAATGTTGGGAACTAGTTTGTCACCTTCAATAACTGGGACTTGTCCCATTGCACTCTGGTGGAAGACTCTGGAAAAACTGTGATTTATTTGATTCTCATCCCTTTAGATGTGTCTGCAAAAGAGTACTGCCTGAGGCCACTCAGAACAGCACCCCCTGTGCCACACATCCTCATGCAAACTGCAGAAATTCCTTCAGAGCCTCTGGAAAGGAGTTCCATGTCCTTGAATATGACTGACAGGGAACAATGGATGTGGGAGTGGAGTTGATGCTGCAGTCTTACAATGTTCTATTCATTCTGATTTGGGTGTTTTGTGTATTTTGTTTTTCTTTTTTTCAGTATTTGTTTTTATATATCTCTAAGAAAACTTTTTACTTGTATACCTTAGAAATACTCAAGAATGTTCAGTTAAAGTAGACAAAGTAGCATTTCATATGACTGTGGAGACCCAAATTACTCAGGGTCAGAGAATCTGAGCTTGCTTTACCCATCGGGGCTGTTAAGGGGATGATTTGACCATGAGTGTGGTTACCAGGTGTTTGGAAGGGTCTACACTTGGCTGGGCGGTGTGCTTTGATCTAGCAAGGGGAAGGTCTTTTGCCCCACCCCTTGTCATTGTAATAAAAAGCCCTTTTGAATAAATGGAAGAGGTCATTGGATATTGAGCCAGGTCCTCCTGAAGCTATCCTGTGTTTCTGTCTTTCTCCTCTTTGCTATCTTTCTATCTAATATTTTCTTATCCCTCTCTCCTCCTCATAAGAACCCTTGAAAAGGTGGGAGCTGGTCTCCCACATATGACTTTCCACATATATGATTTTGCCTCTCTTGTTAATGTGTATATAAATATTTGGATACCCAGATATATGTATAAAAGCCTCATGTGGAATTTAAGTGCAAAATGAATAGCCTGTTTGCTCTGCTCCTGGCTTGTCTCAGTCTATCATGGTCACTGAACTATGGTTAAACATGTGGAATTGTAGAAAAGTCCGGCAGTCAAAATGTTTCTTTGTGCATCTAAATAATAGGGCACTAACCACAGATTGTTCTCCTCTGACTTTTCTCTTTCAACTGTTTTATATGTGCATGATGGTAAGACTGGGACCCAGCGTGTGTATATGTATGTTTGTGCAAATGTGAGTATGTGAGAGTGAGGCACATGCATGTTTCTCTATGTATGAGTGATAATATATGTTTGTATGTCTGTGGGAACTAGCATGTGTGTATGTGGTTCCATGTGCACAGATAGAAGGCTCAGTTGTCCTTATCCTCTACAATGTGCCAGAGGCACTAACAGTGCAAGGGACGTGCTGCTGCATGAATCACTCTGTGCATGGAATTTCCATGCTAATGGCGCACAGATAGTATTTACTTATCTGTGCAATAATCAGCCAGGAGATGCCCCAGGATCCTTGTGCTGTCACTGCCTCACACTGTCTTTGGATTAGGCAGGAGGCTAACTCCTGGATGAACTGCCAAACTCTACCCTGATATGGGATGTGAGGATACTTTCTGGGCTTGCCCTGGGACCTAATACAGAAACACAAGGGGTGTGCAAATGGTTGATGGTCAATATATAAACAAGGGGATGGTGTATCCCTACACAGCAATGGCGGGATGCAAAGATTACAGTCGTACATGAAAGACTCTCTACAGTAGGGTAAGGACCATTGGACAATAACATGAACAACTCAAATCTCCCAGGGAATTCCTGGACAGAAGACCATGTGAAGAATGTTGCTATGATTTACTTCAAAAGAAGCTTTGCTTCTGGCTTTTTTAAATCCGTAGGCATATTTTTATCTATCAGACTGGACTGGGGTCATAGTAAATTTGGCTTTGAGAAGAAGCACAGTCCTAGCCTGGTTGTGCCTATGCTGAGGGAGGCACAGGAAAGGGACAGGAGTTACAGGAGCCCACTTTGCTAAGCCCACTTGTTTTGTAAACAGTGTACTCTATATTCCTTGTTTGCTCACATTAACTTTGCTCTACAGTGCTCCGTCTGATGTTCTGTTTCAGGAGCACAAACCCCCACTGCCGATGGCAGACAGCAAAGGAAACTGGAGACCTTCCCATTGCAAAGTGCACTATCGCAGAGCCTCCAAATCCTCCCTGCCCCCAGAGGGCCCTGCATTCTTGGAGGCAAAATGGGAATCTCTTCATTTGTTGTTCCCTTTCCTTGGATATCAGTTTGAACATCTATGCTCTCTGAAGGTCTTGGCACTCCCCAGGTAGTACTACTCTGCAAAGACAGACAGAAGTTACTTCTGCCATTGGAGATATTCTGTCTGCCCTATATCCTGGAGTAGTCACCATCTCTCTGCTTTCCCCAAAGGCCCACAGTACAGAATCTCCACGAGATACCCAATGTACTCCCATGAACCATGTGATACCGACTACAAAGGAAGCCTGGGCACTGGGAGGCTTGAGGATCTATTGAAGAGCAGAGTGACTGTGAAAGGGTGAGGCTCTTATTGGGCTGGGGCTTCTGGCTTCTTTTGGAGTAGGAACATAAGGATAGAAAAGTTAAAGAAAGGGTATGTAGGATAGATATGGGAAAATGCAATTTAAGAAAGGGCAAGAGCAGATAATATACAGGGGTCCAGTCATTACTCATGGAATTGGCCTGTGGCAGAGTTTCACTGGGACTGACCCCAACACACATAGACATTCATCTCACTCCAGAAACAGAAACCACAGTAGACAAAAAGATCCATGAACCAATGTCTAGTATCAATGACTTTTCTGGGGATTATTGAGCCTATGGATGGGGGTGTACAATGAGCAAGGATAAGTCAACAGCAGCTGGATCACTAAAGAGTCCATGCCACCTTGTGCAAAAATCTAGAAAACTTCAGCTCTGACACTTACTAAGCAGTTTGCAGGCAGCTCCACATTCAGAATGTTTGTTTCTTTCTTTCCTGCAGTTTGCTGGGCATTCGCTATCTCAGTAAGTTATTATTACTTGTTATACTGCTGCCTAGAAGACCTGGAGTTTTAATTTTCTGCTTTTAAAGACATGTGAGCATTTCTTTACCAGCTGAGTTCAAAATCTCCCTTTTCTCAAGCGAAGCATCTGTTTCATTTTGTTAAGTGTCTTACATTTCTGAGGAAGAAGAAAATGTCATACTACACATCCACTGTAGTCTTGAGGACAAATGGCATCAGCAGGCAGGTATGTGCATCTCTAAGGAGGCAGACACAGTCAGGGAAGCAGGTGGCTTCAGTGAAGATACTGAATAGGCAGGATGTCAGCTATAAAGGCAACTGGTTTCCAGTTCTACTAGGCCCAAGGCACTTGGCTTATGGTAGATGAGTACCCTCAACACCACTGACCCTAAGGAAGCGGTTAGTGTGTGATCAGAAACTCCAGATGCCTGAGTCAGGGCCCAACAACTGCACTGGATCAAATCTCAAGGCAAGGACAATGACATTGAGTAGTAAGAAACCCCTGAGCTCAATTCCTAGGTGCAGAGAATATTCTAGGCCATGAAGATATGTAATCCCCTTCTCTGCTCTTGACTGATGCATTCATGGCACAACTACTGGGACCTGTCAACAAGTGACAGGGGTGGAGACTTGTTAACAAGAAAGGCCAGTTGACATCTGTTGAGACCCCAGGTCTGCAAAATCGAAAATGAAGAACTATGTCCCCTTAAGTCTCCTGTCTTTCGGTCACCTGGTCCTGCTGTGGGATGTTCTGTATGGCAAATGTGTTGCTCTGATTGGTTAGTAAATAAAACACTGATTGGCCAGTAGCCAGGCAAGAGGAAGTATAGGCGGGACAAGGAGGAGAAGAATTCTGGGAAGTAGAAGGCTGGGTCAGAGAGACTGCCAGCCTCTGCCATGACAAGCAGCATGTGAGGATGCTGGTAAGCCACGAGCCACGTGGCAAGGTATAAATTTATAGAAATGGATTAATTTAAGATGTAAGAACTAGATAGCTAGAAGCCTGAGCCATTAGGCCAAACAGTTTAAACAATATAAGTCTCTGTGTTTACCTGGTTGGATCTGAG